CAGGAAAAATAAAGGTATCCAACTCATGCCCTTCTCCATCAGAATCTTTCATCACTTTCTATCTGCCTTTCAAGAGCGCTGCTCACTCACACGTTAAACTTTGGTGAATACCTAGTGGCTAACTACAGCAACACCACCACAAGTGGGCAATTCCTAGCACTCGACTGTACAGTTAAGTGTTGGAAGAACAGGAGATGCTTGAGATTCATGACTTTTACTGTTTTAAGCACAGTGATGACATCAGACACACTCAGCCATCTGGGTAGGTGAAATGCTCCAGAACACTTGCATTTGCAAAATGAACTCCAGCAGAATTAGTAGATGCCTCATCTTTACTAAGAGGCATAGTCTGGAATTTCCTGCTAAACATTATTTACTTAAACATAGCTTACTCTTTCTGACTAAGAAGCAGAGAGTGGCTTTACCTCTAAGACATTCACCTTTCTAGTTATCTGAAAGCCTGTGTTCCTGTAGAGATGTTCTCCACATGACTCGGAAAGGACACTGACCATACCAAAGTGCAGAGAGACACGGGTGCACACACAACAGTGGTAATAGTATCAAATCATGTAGCTGGTTTCATTTCAGTTTGCTTCAGTGGCCAGCTGGGACTGAACTGAAACAAAAAGTTAACCTTGCCAGAGAACTTAGGCTGACATTCAGAGATGGACTTGGCTAGCCAGTGCCTTTACTGACCATTAACCCACAAAACACTTCCAAATATCTTAAATCTTGATAACCTGATTTAGTGCCAAATACTGAATTTCTACTTAAATATATGAAAATGAATTTTCAAAAACTCACCTGTAAGTCTCTAGCAAGCTATTTTTGACATACTTGTTTTGGTTTTGCTATTGATCAATAACAGAAGAAAAAACACATTACAGTATAATCAGCTGCCCTGTGTGTGAACAGTTGCCTTGGCTGACTGCAAGACCTGACTCCTGTACATATCTCAGCCACAGAACACTTCATTTAAGTCTTTCTTTAAAAAAAAGAAATCCTAACACTATTTACCAGGAGACTTATGTCAAAGACAAAAGAAAACCTCTGAAAACTTGAACTTAAGCAGAAGCGCACACATCATTTCCCTGAGCTAATCTGTGCCACTAAAGCTCACAAAACATTCTGAATACAAATAATGTAAATTAAAGCTCCTTATGTGGTCATTTCCTGCAGTATCCTCAGTAGAGTCACACTGTGTCTATGGTGGAGCCTGAATACCTGTTTCAGAGTTACGCTTGAGAAATGGGCAGGAGAAAAATAAGAGTAGTGGTAGAAGTTAGAGTCCGCATATGTTTATTTTAACAAAAAAAAAAATCAGTCTAAGCATAGACCAGTCATGCTTTGCTGAAATGCTGTGTGCCCTGGTTACCTCACTAAGAGGGAAGACTGGAGACAGTGACACTAGACACAACTGGACTTGGAACTATTTCTTCCAAAACTGCATTTGACTAGCAAACCAGAGGTTGTCTCATACCACGTTTATGCTTCTATGTTAGAAGTAAGTATATTTTACAATGAACCAGTCTGTTTGCAGACAGAGCTGAGACTCATTTTCTTTAATGAGCATCAAGAGAATTGCACTAGTTTCATATGAAGCCTTAGGAGATTTCTAGAAAATAATCAGGATCCTAGAACTGGAGGGAGCGTAGCAAGATGCAGTGTTGGGGCAACAAATGAGCACAAGGAATTTGCCCCTAGAATTTGGAAAGTACTGTCCTTAGAAAGCCCAACGTCAGAAGTGCCTGCAGAGGCCACAAAGAAACATTTAGAAGGTAATGGGAATAAAAGATTAAGGAATATCTGCTCAGTTGGGTTATGGATGTGGCCAGAGAATTAACATTGTATAAACATAAGAAACGTGCATCTTCCTAAAGAGTGAAGTACCTTGAAATGGGCATTGCACATCTTTTCAAGACAGTTCTTTATAGCAAAAGGTTTCATATCAGCCAAAAGACCTTGCATCACGTTACTCAAAGTAAGTGTTATACAGATATATAAAACCTACAATGCATTACTTGCAGAAGGGTTTAGTGGCAAGGCAAGGTAACATTTTAAAAACTTAAAATGAAGTGACAGGCAGGCATCTGAGCTGCTAGACAGGCACGTCCACATGTTCTTGCCAGCAAACAACATGCACTGACTCTTGACACAAGTACAGGCTAGCACCCATGCAGCCACCGAGGTGCGCTGTTTCCTGGGAGAGGCTGCTGCCAGCCTCTTCTGCTTCCCGCTGGAAACACCTAGAGCCCAGTGAGTGCTGCAGCTGCACTTGGCAGGGGAGTGAAGCAGGCAGGGCATGGCCAGATCCCAGCTCAGGTGACAGCACACCTGGGAATAGACAAATGTGCGTGTCCTGGTACAGCACTGGGAGCAGGTGCTGCTTGTGCTAGTGGCACAGCGTGAGAGAACTCAGCTATGGGAAATGCACTCGCTGTATCCAAGCGTCCCAGAAAGCAACAGGCTGAGCTAGAGCAAGCGAAGGCTGCTTTGCCACTCTCAAATGCTGGCAGACTCCAAGAAGAGCCAGAGAGGACTGCAGTCTGTATATGAAACCTCTTTTGCAGGGTGTAGGGTGTTGCAGGTTTGAAGGCTGCATAGGATTAAAAATCTATTAGGCAACCTATACTGGGGATGTTATTACCCCACCTTCAAACTCTCAGAACAAAATTCCAGTAGCGACAGCTAGAAAACTAGTACTTACTATAATGAAACAGTTATTAGAGAAAGATTTAGGTTTAGTCTGAAAGTCCAGGCAAAAAGGTCTTGAGAGTAGAGGGAGAGAAAGCAGAAGGTAACTAAGCCCCATATGGGGGTGAAAACAGTAGAACAGGCTCTTTTCACTTTAGGGGAATATTTAAGGTTACTTGGAACCTTTAACCACTGAGCATGCTCAAACTGCAATCTCAGACACTATTTATCACAGCTACAGGAGCTGTGATAAGTGCAAAAGCTGACACCTGATTTGCAAAATAATAATCAATTTCCACAGCAGACTAAAGAGAACATGCTTTTGATTTAGGTTCTGTCTTTTTTTTTTTTTTTGACTCTTCAGTCAGCAACTCAAGACATTCCTGAGAAACTTGACCTACCAATTTAATAACAAGGCCTAAATATTGCCTGTGTTCAAACACATGAAAGCTCAGGCTGCTCCTAGGACTGTCCTTAAAGATTGTGTTTTACAGTTCTGTAGATAGAACTCAATTATAATGAGTATAAACCACTTTTATTGATCTAACTAGAAGCTATCTCCTAGTATTTTCATTAAATCTGATCACAGCAGCAAAATTGAAGATGAAAGAGAATACAGTTCTTGGCATAGCCAGTTTGTCCAAAATGTCAGCCTCGTTCATGCAGGGTTAGTGCCATTCAGCACCTGACAGTGCCGTATCAGCAGTTAACTTTGCATCCAAAGAAGAACGTACAAGAATTGCAAGGCAACGCTCAAACTGCTACGCAGATGGACAAAGCTGGGCCACAGCAACAAATCAAACCTGCTTTCACAACACACTGCTTAGTGAGACCCTCACATTCTTTCCCCATGTTTCCTAGGACTACAGTTACAGGGGTTCCTGATATAGGTCTATCTGTATCTATCCCACTGTTAGAACAACTTTTTTTTTTTTTAAAAAAACTTGTCTCAAATATTGTTAAAGAGAAAACATCTCTTCTACCACATACTTTATGGTTAATCTATATGTTTATACCAAAACTCTGAAAATGAAAGCTAATAAAATATATAAAAAACCCACCAATATAGAGTGATATGAGAGGTCACTTGGTTGCCTTCTGCACCCCATGACGCTCAGGTCCTGTTTGTTCCTGGAGAGAACCAACCACTTTCCCTCAACACAAGCCAAAGAGCACACCTCCAAATAACACAGGCTTCCTTGAAGACTTACATTTGCTTCTGCCAATTATATAATCTCAACATTCTCCATGAGGCCTCTGCAAAAGAGACAATCAAAATCAGATTTATATCTTACCTAATTTTATCCTAAGTCTGATTGTTACTGAAAACAAATCAAGAAGTAAAGCTGAAAACACAGTGGCAACCAGTGACAGTACCTTCTATGTTTTTATTCTAATTTTGAAGTTAAATTGAGAACATGGTGGAAAAAAGAAAAGCAAAGGAGCACATATATGGCTTGGTACAGAACAAGAAATGTATTCAAGGGAAAACAAAGGCTGGAGAGAGTGTGGGTGCAAAGGTACCTAATGCCATCCCTAATTTTTGTCATCCTCCATTAAAAGTTTTCGGCCATGTTTACTCACTTACCATTCTGGGCACTAAGCAAGGACAGAAGGGTAACTCCTGGGCTTTCTATCATATGCTTTCTAGGCAGAACACTGAAGTTGACCAGCAACATTGAGGGCCAAGCACAATAAGGACAAGCAAAAGGGTCGGGGCAAACGTTCAAGATCTCCAGGATTTGTTATAAGTTTAGAAGACTATGTGAATTATTCAAAGTGCTAATAACATTTTTTAAATCTCTTGCTTCTCTTTAATGAGCAGCAAGCACTAATCCTCCAAGGAAACGAGACAAATCTTTGCCAGTTGTGCAGAGAGAGATTCTGGTTTAAATGATTAGTCAGCAAAAAGAGGTTCTTTTGCACTAGCATGTGCTATAAGACAGAAAGCATAACCTAATTAATTTCAGGATCTAGCAGAGCCATGAATCTGTTTGAGTCTAGTTTTTCTATTATTTTGTAATAGACATTATCTCGCACAACTGTCCGTCTATAGAGGGAACAGGGGAGGTGTCTATTATTTAACAGTAGCAATATAAAGCTAATCTGAGTCTATTTAATATATGTATGTAACTTCCTACCTGTTTCTGTTTGCTTTCTCTTTTCTCAGAGGCCTCAACTGACTAGCCCAAGAATCATTCCTGCAAGAAATAAGCTGCAGCTGGGACTCCTCTGCCCAGAGGAGGGTGCAAGCTCTAGTTCACATAACCCCATGCCTGAAGAGCCAAACTTCAGCCCCAGTCCCCCAGAGTTACCTCCAACTTGCATCCTTCCCAGTTACGCAAACTTGGTGCTGTGAGGCTTGGTACAAAGCGAGGAGGATTCTTCCTAATCGGAACAGAGGAAAAACAGCACGTATCTTTCTTACTAATAATAAATACTCAAGATTTCAGAGTATTTTTTTAGAAGTGAGCCCCAATGGGTTGGGCAGAAGAGGTTTTTCTAACCTGCATGCCATAGCTGGAGGGTTTGCTGTGAGCTGGCTGCCCCCATCCCTCAGGTGCTCACCTAGCCTGTTTGTGGTGTCCTTGGGAGCCACAGGGATCGGTAGTGCCACTGATCACTGACACACTGGTGCTGCCTTTCCAATAGACTCATTTGCCTACAATGTCCACACCAGAGCTTCATCTTGGTTGTGGGAGCTTGTTCCTGGAATGCAGGAATTGCTTCCCCCACCCATATGCACACAGGTGCCCCATTCCAAAGCCAAATTCAGTGCTAGTCCCTGTGGCTAGTCAGTGGCCTGATACTTCTATCCATTTCTTGACCTGCTGCAAGAACATGTCTCACTAACAAACTCTGCAGCTATCACTCTTCTCACCGAGTTATACAGCCTCTCCAGATTGTACACTAGCCAGCTCTTCAAGAATTACCATATTCACCATGAACATCACCTAAATATGCAAATAGGCTCAACATTACAGGCCTGCAGATATGCTCAGTCTTACACTGCAGCTATATAAACTATTCCAGGTTCTTCTAGCACTGATCCAGGGCGAGATGAGCTAAGAAATAAGTGTGAGTAGTCTTCAGGCACTTGCTCTTGGCTCTGTATGGCCCCTCTGGGTACAGCTGTTCATTGGGCTGCACAAAACACCATCTCAAAGAGCCTATTCAACTACCTAAACCATCCTGAAGAAAGAAAAGAGGAGTGGGTTCCTTCTACTCCAGAGCAGGTCCCCACTCCGGCTTCCCGTGCAGCCCTACAGAAGCTGCGCTAACAAGCGGGTGAGGGCACGTGGGATGGAGGCAGTGGGCTGCCTGGTGCTGCACAGCAGGAACCTGGAAAACCACAGCTGCGCACAAAGCCCTGGTGCCTAGCACATGGATGTGGGAAAAAGTACTTGAGGGGGGGCTCAAAACGGAAACAGTAGGCTCTTTCAATGCTTGTTGAGAGGACGAGACTGACAAATATCCTCTTTTGCTAGCTGGAGAAACTGTACCACTGTCCTCACTGCTGGAGGACCGTATAACCTCCCTTCTTCACTGCAGTCATGCAACCCCAAACTTGCTCTCCTGTAGACTTTGTAGAAAAGGACTCTTGGTTGGGCACTTCCTCTCCTGACAACCAAGGGAAGAACTATGGTGATTTCTTCCGCAGCAGCTCCTGAAGCTGTCCCACAGCATCAGCTGCTCTCCCTCCCCTTTGCAGCAGCTGAAAAGAGGCAGCCAGGTCACTGTGGGTACATTTTGCTGAGCTTTTGAATTTCCATCTGTCTGCATAAGCTCAGAAATGGCAGAAACGCCATTTAGTACTATCCCAAGCACATGAAGACAACTTACGCAGTAAGAGCAATGTGCTGATCAGAGCTCTTTTCAGCCACTAACCCTGTTGTGTCCGGAAAGTGACATGAAGAGTTTATACTAGAGGAATAAACATTTGAGAACATATTGTTAGAACAAAAGGTTCTGGAATTGGTGAGCACTGATCACAACGTTTCAATTGACATTGTTCAAGTTGAACATCAAGTGTACTGGTGCTTGCACACAGCTGAACAAAACATCAGCTTATCTGCATTAGTAATCTACTTCTAGTTTGTGTTAAAAGCCTTTACCTTTCTGATAAATCCAAAACTCCTTAGGAACTATGAATTTTAAAATAAATTCAGAAGACAACACAGAAACATAATGCCTGAAATAAGTGTCTGACTTTTACAAACAATTAAATGCATGACTGATTTTTCTACTCTGCTAAAAAAAATACTGGGTTATTTCCCAGTACTGACTATGACCAAATTTAACTCCTTCTACAACAACATAGTACAACAGAGCAAAAACTAATGTAATTCCAGACAGAGCCAGTCAAGGATCCAATGGTGTTGGAGGAGTGACCAGTAGTATTGGTAAAGCCTGAAAGCTCAGTCAATGCTATTACAAACCATTGCATAGATTTGTCTGGTACATGCAATGTTACAGTAATTGATCTCAATCAAATAAGGGGGGAGGGGGAGGAAAGGGAAA